TGACTGGATGATTTTATAGCATTTGTCAGGACAACATTTTGTGAAAGCAGGGAACTTTTCACTGGTAAAGTGAATTGTTCAGTCACAGAATTTGAGTAGTTTACAGGTTTCATGGTCCATGGAAAACCATTGACGTAATATATACAAGAAAATGCAATGTTGCATATTTCATTTATTGTTCTTTTTACAGTGCTAACTCTACAAAAACAAAACAAACCTGTTCTTGATTTTTTCAAAGCTACATGACTTTGATTTGATTCAGTTTCCATGCACTGTGATGAGCTTCGTTTCTGAGACATTCCACATCGACACTCTCCCCTCATAGGCTCCAGTTGGCCATTTTGTTTATCCTGTAGAGGGGAGTAAACCTTGCGTATTTCATCCCTCATGCTTTTAGATTCATCATTGGGTCCATTGCTCTAAAAATAAATGTAAAAAATTGACGCAAACCATAAAGTTTAATGTATGGAATGAGTCATTTTTAAAACTGAGGTTAAATCCAAGTTCTTCTTTTGCAATTGACAATTACTAAAGAGCAGTGTTTCATTTTGCATAGTGGGGCATTCAGCTTTATTTCAACAATAAGCAGGAACAGAGTCAAAACCCTTCTCACCTGCTGCTACAACAAATTCAATGACAAAATGATCATACTTCAAAATTGGAGAAAAATACATCATGTACTGAATTCTCAGCAATCAATGTTTGATCAGTCATGCCAAGAAACTGTTTTTGCCTTGGGGAGCATTCACGTAAGAAAAATATAAAAGATGCAACTCTCAAATCAGGTCTAATTTTAAAATAAGTAGATCACTGGAAATGCCATCTATTTTACCCTAAACAACTTTTTTGCCTGAAAATGAACTCATTTTTACCCAAAACTGACTTTTTCACTTCCTCAAACCAGCGTTTTTTTTGTGTGAGTGTTTTTGGATAATTTTTCAGTGTAATTGCTGTCCACACAAATATGGCGACTTTTGAAGGCATTGTCATGAAAGGTGTTAAAACAAGAAATAAAATTTAAATTTATATATGTTTACAAAATATAAATCTTACCCTAGTGAAATCCACTTCATCTGTTCCCATTATATGGAGAGACTAAAAAAGTGGTAGTGTTGTAGCTGTAATAAAAAAATGCAAAAGTTGATATGCATGCAATGGTCAAAATTGTAGCACAAGAGTGGCTCCCTAATTTCAATCCTTAATTCTACCCCTGACATGCATGTTAACAAGACACAAAAAATAAATCAGTGAAAGGAGCCCCAAAATTGGAGTATAGTGCGTAAAGTATTGAATCCAATATATCCACTTTAAATCGTGTACATATTACATAGAACACATATGATATGTTTTTTACCAAAACAGAAGACTGTTCCATTTGGGTTTAACTCGTCAATATTGACAATTTGAAACCCTACCATAAGTCTAACCTTAAGTCTCCCCCAAATTCAATTTGGGAGTGCTGGAGGGTAGTGGTTGGGTTATACTTAGTAGTTAGAGTGGGGGTACAAAAGAAACTGCAATCATTGTTATTTACAATTTAAATCTACCTAAAGCTGACCATGAACGTTTTTAAAAATACATATTTAAAACTTTTAATCCTCATGGACTAATGAATATTTATGTGACGCATTACCCAGAAATTAATATAAACATTTAGACTTAGGGTCTATGCTGTTTGCATGCAAATACTTGCTTAACATGAAATTTTGATAGATCATTCTGGCTTCAAAATGAATTTCAATAGAATATATCCATGAATTTCAAAAACAGCGCAAATCTATGTCAGGTTGTAGGTGAAGTTTTCAAAAAAAATATGTGGATATATCCAAATTTAATCCATTAGGATTTAAATCTTCAATATTGACAAGAGATTTTAATAATGCCAGACAACAAAAGCTGACCATGCTAAATATGAACTGACGTTAAACCACAAAATAAACAAAACAATTGCATTACAACACAGTTCTTCAACACTGCTATATGCAAAAACAGTGAGTAAGGTGAGAAATCTGTTACGATATAGCAAAAATCAGTTATTTGATACATTTTGTTTGATTTAGATATTTATATATTCATTATTGTCTAACTCTCAACTATGACTACCACATCATGTTTATTGTAGCTAATTACTTGTAAATAGAATTGGTATTATTTTAAAAATATTTGAGAAACATTTTTGTACCAGCATCAGCAATAACACTCGAGGTTCAAGCACCACCAGTGGTATTGTACCTGAATATCAGAGTCTAGTAATCAGGTTTTATTACTAACTTATCCAATATACAACTGTTTATTCAGATAATATGCATCCATCCATAGATTTATATTTGTGTTACGATTTATCAAGCTACAATGTATATGCATAAATGTATGTTACTTTTGTTCTACAAGATATTTTGTTTAAATTGATTTTCTAATCTTAAAAATCTCACAAACACAACTCTTCTCATTCTTGCAACAGACTATAATGCTTATCATGAAACTACAACCCTGGTTTTTATAGTGTTGTACATCCATACACGGAAATGAAATTTCCAAATTTCAAGCCCGGACTTGCCAATATTGACATGCTTGGTAATGTGTAAATGTACAAAGGCAATATGTATTGATACATAACAAAGGGGAGGGCAGCTGCCAGGTCTATTTATAGTAGTGATTCAACTTCACCAGGGTTCTACCGTAGCTATATACTGTCTATGGTTCTACAATGAGTTTAAATCACAAAAATGCTACCGACACCAGTAAATTTATTGTTGATATTGATCTTATGACGAGATAGAAGCAGAAATTTAATCCTCTTATACTGGTGCATCTTTTCCATAATAGTTTCAAAACTTAAAAAGAAATCTGGCATATTCTTGTCACAATATATAATAACTAGTACATAATTTACTTAGTCACTTAACATTCATTGCAATGGATAGTGATAGATACAATGCACAAAAACACCGACAAGAAAAACAAAAGCATGTCAAAAATAAATGAAAAAGTCATGACAAGAAAATCCAAGAATTGGGAAGATATTACTATTTTGTTTTCAAAACAGTGAGCTATATTGGAATACTGCTTTTTTGTTCATAGTAAAACAGATTCTCAAATATAATTATTGACCAACAAGTACTGACATAGAATTATTTTATTGTTCAAGATAAAGCTGAATTGGTCATCATGGTTTATTTTGATTGAAATTTGTGGATATTTTCTCTGCTTCCATAAAAAGAATGTTTCATTGTTATGCCTAAACAGGACAAAATGTTGTTACATTGATTTGTGTTCAATGTACATATAAATAAATAAACTAAAAGCATAGTATATAGCTACAAATCTATTTACAGAGTTTACCTAAATTAGATAAATATACACTGTTTTTCTCAACAATTGATAATGCAGCAACAGCATGGACGGCAAGCATTGAAGAACACACGCACACCCCCAACACATGCGAGATCAGTTTTACCGCAAATAATACTGCTATTAGAAGTGCTACAATCACCTACACACTGTTGACCACAGTGTACACTAGTAAAATTGCATATACGGCGACATTATCATTACATAAATCTCTGCCTATCACATTTACACCACGCCAAATCAGACAAAGATCAAGTTATCACGCTAGACACTCTGACCATGCAAAAAATCAGAAAATGAATTGAAATACACGGGCGGGAAACAAATGCGAATTCAAAATATTTGAAAGTTCCAACGACAGTTTATAATTTTCTAACAAAATGCAACATGAACAGACTAAAACTTTGCAGAATATAGCTGAAAATTGCCACCAAAGCGTCCTTACCTTTTTTTGCCGCGAAAGTTGGGCTTTAAATGGCATTTAATATACATCAACACGGACAAGTTCCGACACGAAAAATAAGCCTGCCATGTTGAAAGGTGACAAATGCGAGCAGGGATATAATTTGCATACAGCTGTGTACCATGGTAATTTGTTGCTGAGATTAATGATATACAGTAAATCAAGAAAGTGTGAAGTAGTTATATATGCATTAAATTATAGAAATAATTTCTCTAAAAAAAAGAAAACACTAGATAATCACGGAAAATTATAATTTTAAAAATATGAATGTCGAACGAGGATGGGGAAAAAGTCAGGTGACTGAAGTAGTCACATGACGTCTTCTCGGAGAACGAAACATCATAGAACAGAGGGGTGGCTGTACCTGCGATCAACACCGTTGTTTTGTATGCACTGCTTATACGTTCAAATCAAACACCGCTTGACCGAAACAAAGATGGCCTTTGTCACACAGAATGCGATAGCTTGTTTTACTTGAGGGTTCGCCTAGTTTGGATTTTTGGGAGAGTTCGAATACGGAATCTCACACGCCTGTCGGGGGGCCTGTTCGCTGTTGTGATCGGACGATCGGAAAAGCCAGACAAGTGCGACATCTTTCCCCGAAGTTACGGAACAGACGTACACCGAGGCGTGTATGTAATGCAGGATGACAGAAAGACTGTTCAAAGTTTTAATTATTGGCGATGCCTACTGTCGGGAAAACATCCTTTGTGCAGCGTTATGTTAATGATTCGTTCAGACGTGAGTACAAGACAACGATTGGAGGTATGTTTTCTCATGAATGGCCCTCGTTCATGTTCACATTCTTAATTAAATTTGCTACTGATCTAATACTGTTTTCCACGAACTAGTGATTATCACTTTCGTTTTATTGATAGCATTACGCATTGGTTTAAATGTAGAGTAATGTGCATTTTACAACATGAAATTAAGAATTATTTTCTTCCTAGACTGACCATTAAGCTACAAAAAAATCCCAATGGACTGCTGCTAACAGGGGTCAAGCATTTTCTAAATCACGGACGGCGGGTTCTGGGTCTGGAAGAGTGTTTCCAGTACACAGTTTTTTTTAGTTTTTTTTGTTCTGTCTTGTACATTTTTCTTTTTCTTGAATGTTACAACTTTTTGCATGCAATTTGTTTTCTCTTCAAGTGTATAGCTTGGAATATTTTTTTAACCAATCACCCCCAATGATGGTTGACCTGTAAATCTTTTGACAGTGTTTTGTCAAAAAA